CACTCCTTGGCTACTTCTTGATATTGCAAGGGTTCAGAGTCTCACTGAAATCCCTGTGTAAAGAAAATTCTATATCTGAGCCACGGTGGGCCCTAGACATGCAATGCCTATTAGAGCCATGCCTCAGTGGGGTTTACGAATCTGAGGTGTTTTCCTGGCTCTGAAGAATGGGTCTTCTGGGATAAAACTGTTAATATTGACCTCCACATAAAGAGAATTCCAGTGCTAATAGTTTTTGTCTCAAGTCAGTTGATATGCAGACCTTAAGGAGCTTCACCATTCTCAGTGAATGACAGACTGATCTACAGGCCAGTCAGCCTCACCTTGATCCTTGGAAAGATGATGGAGYAGCTCATCCTGCTTACTCTTTCCAAGCACATTAAGACAAAAAGGTGATTGAGTGCTGTCAGCTTGGGTTCACACAGGATATCACATGGATTCCGACCTGATAGACTTCCCTGATGGAGTGACTGGCTGGGTGGATGAGGGGAAAACAGTGGTTGTTGTCTACCTTGACTTCAGTAAGTCTTTTGACACTGTCTCCCATAATAATATCCTTATAGCCAAGCTAGGGAAATGTGGATTAGATAGTCAGGTAAATTGGAAACTGGCTGAATGACAGAGCTCAGTGGCACAGTCTACCTGGAGCCTGTAGCTAGTAGTGTCCTCCAGGAGTCAATACTGGGTTCAGTCTTGTTCAAATTCTTCATTGATTGCCTGGATGAAGGGACAGAGTGCACCCTCAGCAAATTTACTGATGATATAAAACTGGGAGGAGTGACTGATACACTGTGGACTGTGCAACCATTCAGAGGAACTTGGACAGACTGCAGATATGAGTACAGGAGAACCTCCTGAAGTTCAATATAGGGAACTGCAGGGTCCTGCACTTGAGAGGGATAACCCCATGCATCAGTACAGACTGAGGGCTGACCTCCTGGAGAGCAGCTCTACAGAGAAGGAGAATCTTGGTGGACAACAGGATGACCATAAGCCAGCAATATGCCTTTGTGGCCAAGAAGGTCAATGGTATTCTGGGTGCATTAGGCCAGCAGGCTGAGGGAGATGCTCAGCCATGGTGAAACTGCRTCTGGAAAATCCACTTCTGGGCTCCTCAGTACAAGAAAGACATGAAGTTACTAGAACAAGTCCAGCAAGTGTTTACTAAGATGATTAAGAGACTRGATCATCTCTCTTATGAGAAAAGGCTAAGAGAGATGGAACTTTTCAACCTGGAGAAGAGAGGATTGAGGGGAGATTTTACCAATGTGRATAAACATCTGAAGGAGCAGTGTAAAGAGCATGAGGCCGGACTCATTTCTGTAGTGCCAAGCAACAGGACAAGTGACAATGGGCACAACCTGAAACATGAGCAGTTCCATCTGAACATGAGAGAAAATTTCTTTACTGCRAGAGTGACTAAGTACAGGAACAGGTTGCCCAGGGTGGTTGTGGAGTCTTCTTAGATGTGTTCAAAATGGATTTGAAACTCCTAGAGAGGGTCTAGCATAGAGCAATGAATATGATTAAGGGACTGGAGCCTCTATCTATCTTATGAGCAAGCTGGGCCTGTTTCGCCTGAAGAAGAGAAGATCGAGAGGGAATCTGATCAATATGTATAAATACCAGAGGGGAGGATGGGGCCAAGCTTTTCTTGATGGTGGCCAGTGACAGGACAGGAGGTAATAGGTCTAAATTAAAACACAGGAAGCGCCATCTCCATATGAGGAAGAACTTMTTTACTATGAGGGTGGCAGAGCCCTGGAACAGGCTGCCCAGGGAGGTTGTGGAGTCTCCTTCTCTGGAGATCTTCCAAACCCGCCTGGATGCTGCCCTGTGCCCCGTGTTCTGGGTATCCCTGCTGGAGCAGGGGGGTTCGACTAGATGATCTCTAGAGGTCCCTTCCAACCGCAGCCATTCTGTGATCTGTGTGATCTGTGAGCTGTCCAAATGCAATCCTGGGTAGCATGCTCTGGGTGACCCTTCTTGAGCTGGAGTGTTGGACCAGAAGATCTGCAGAGATCCTTTCCAACCTCAGCCCTTCTCTGATTCTGTCTCTATACAGCCTGACTGAAGTTTGAAGGTAATGCCAAACTTATTTTGACTCTGGAGTCCTCCGATGTCTCTATCTCACTTTCTAGTGAGATGATGGTGTGTGCTGTGCACAGCACCTTCTGTAGCATGTGCGAGTGTGATCCTGATATGGGCACCAGGCGAATGACAAGAGTGTGGTGCTCACCAGGGCTGGAGCTGTAGAGCACATGGTTACCCAGGACAGCTGCAGCATCATTGTGCACCTTGTCTCAGTAACTTGCTTCTGCAGAGTTCAGCTGGACACAAGCAGGACAAGTCCTTTTGGCCACATGTGGGTAGGAAAGGCAAAGCAGACCCTTAATCTACCCCTGCATCCAGGGACCATTATCTTCTCTTATCATTAAATGAAGAAAGACTTTTCTGAATGTTTAGTTTTCCTTTTCCTGCTAGTCTTTGGGTACAGGGGGGCAGCTGTGTGTTGTTTTCAAAAGAGCATCATAAGTCAAATTATATTTGTATGTGCAGTTTGAAGACAAAACAGTTGTTTTACTGGGATATTTTGATAGAATTACAACTAACATGATCATTTCAAAATATTTAGTATTACAAATAAGTACCCCTAAATATCACTTATCTCTTTTAGTTTTGTGTCCTGGGAGAGAGGGAGAATTAGAAGTTAATTATTTGAAAAAAGAAAGCATACATCCTGGGGAAATTAAGTTAAATAAATACATTCAGGGTAATCTTCCTGATCACACTGGGAAAAGAGAACCTTGCTTCAGCAAAAAGTGCATATTGTAAACATCATTAAAATTGAGTTTCAATATCCCTATGAGCCTTGAAAGAGGGGGAGATATGATGGCATACAGCAAAATGCTTTATCTAAATCTTTGGAGACTTCATGATGAGACATTATCTTTAAGACACTGTATAACTTGAAGACATTGTATGTGTATGTTTGTTTAGTTCTTCTGACTGGTAACCCAAATGCAGTTGTTTCTTACAGTCTAGCTGATTATTGGTCATGGAAATCCTATCTGTTTTTCTCTGTGTCATATTAACATTTTCTTAGGATAAGATTTTAAATAAATCTTATACTATGATCATCATTCAAAAGGAATTCAATTGTTTTATGCATGGTATACACATTTTCCTTCTATCTTTTTTAAGAAAGTGACCATAAGCCTTTCTGATTGCTTTCATGATTGATAATAACACTGAAGCTACACAATACAGTGTCACTTACAGAACTTACAGAACTTAAAGTGTTCATTTTCTCAATTAGCACTCAGAATGTATGGGACAGTTTTTAGTTACAGAAGTTGATGTTTCTCCTATCAGTTTTCAGACTTAAAAGCAAGAACACAGACATAGTATGTCAGCAAACAGCACAAAATATAGAGAGAGCTTTTGGTGAGATGGTATTCATAAAGGATTGGGTTTTGTTCACTGTTAAAAACACAAGTCTCCTCCTCATGGAAACAGTAACAGGAGTTCCTCCTGAAGAGTTGGGAAGCATTTCAGTCTTAAACTGATGAAGGCAGATTACTTTGTGATATCTCATACACTGCAAATTTTAGATATTCTAGCTTTTTCAAATWTTCAGCTTGAAATATTAAATTCAAGATGTGTAGACATCAAACACTAACTCGAGCATTGGTAATTTTCCTAAAAATTGCTTTCCTTCCCTTTTGTAAAATTCCTGTTTGGAGTACAAGTGAATATCAGCAACATTTTGAACTTAGACAGTAAGACTGTAGTACAGTCTTTCGACCTTAAGCTCATTTCCTTAACTTGTACACTAAGGGAAATGAATTTTCCATAGTAAGAACTCAGACTTTTTTTTCACTTCTGTCCCTTGTAATTTCAAATGACTTTTAAGAATTTGCATTCAATGTTGTACTTACTACAACACTTAATATTAATTTGAGATGCAGGGTTAATACATATAAATAGTCTTTAGGAAAAAGAGTCAAATTAGATTTTTTAGCTGGAAAAAAATAAATTGTGAAAATATGTTATATATGTATATTAGCAAAGTTTAACTCAGCAGATTCCTAACACTTTGAATTCTATTTAAAAAAAGTCTCCTTTTTATCATTATTTTTCAGTTTATTCTTCACAGTGCAACTTCATATACATGGAAAGAGGAAGAGAATATAACAATAGTGCAGCAATTATCCAGTATATTTAAAATCTCACTGTACTTAGATACAAGTGAAAAAAGGGAAATGAACTCCCTGTGTACACTGAAGAAGAAATACACTCAGAGCTGAACGAACAGCTTATGGACACACATAGGTTAAGCCGGGAAAGGAAATGGGAAGGATGAGAAATTTGTGCTGAGACTGAGTCACTTAGGGAGTATTCAGAAAATTGCCAGTTTTATTGAAGAGTCACACAAAGAGCAGCCCCAAAGCATGGCAGCTCTGACACAAGGTTTTGCTCTGTACAATATTCTGACTTGTCCTGCTGGAACAGCTTTAGTCTCTCCAGGAATACAGTAGCCACAGGAGCAGACATTTGTCAGGACTAGTATTCAGCCTATGAGTATCAATATCAGTGGCCTGAGGTAAAGCTGGGCTCAACTGTGACCAGGCCCCACTGTGTGTCAGGGAGCAGGAAGGGGGTGGCAGTGAGTCCCTGAGAGGATAGTCCAGAGAGGGGTGGAGAGCCTTAATTTGTGTGTTTGTTTCTTTATTTATTTATTGTATTGCCCCTTGACTCATGATTGCTTTGGTGGGAGACATAGACATTGCCCTTTCAGCAGGGAGCGCCTGTGGAAAGCCCAGGACACACTCAGGGAACTGAGCAGAGCTTTGTGATGCCGTTGGCGACTGGAGGTGACATCGCTGTGGGGGGCTCTGTGATGTCAGCGCTGCTATAGGAACTGTCAGGCAACGCAGGGGAGCAGCACCTGCCAGTCGGGGAGCATGGACACATGAGAGAGGAAGCAACATCAGCGCTGGCAGCAGCTCAACCAGCAGACGGGAACTGGTTCTTCATGGTCCTGGGAAAGACTCTGCTTCCCGCGTGAGGAGCCCAAGGCCGCTGGGTGGTGCGAGCCCGGCAGGCGCGTGCGCAGGGGACATCCGCCAGCCACCCAGCTGGGCACGGGGACGAGGGACGTGAAGTGATGTTCTGCTAATGCCACCAGCTTGAGCAAAGAAGCCAAAGAGCCACCAGCAACAAGAGCTGCTAGCCAGTGCAGGAACATCTCTGAACCTTGAAACAAACTTCACCTGCAGAATCTGCGGAGCAAAGAGGTAGTTGTCGTAAGGGAGGCAAGATAAGATACTAACAGCATTGAGGTGATTCAAGGGCTGAAGGAGTGGTCTGTCCTGTCAATCAGGGTTCAGCTGGTGCATCACGTTGTGCACCAGTTCAAGAAGGACTTCCCAAATAGGCACTTGTTTTCCAGCCTAYCTGGACCTGCTCGGGTGCTCACTAAAGTAGTGAATAGTCCCCAAGCCATGCAAGAGAGACTTCACTAACCTGCTCCAGTGACCAAGCAGCAAATAACAGCAATACCAAGTCTCATACCGCGTAAATAACGTTTCTGTGTGCAAAATCACATTACTGAAGCTGAGTGAAGCTGCTGAAGCAAGGTCATAACTAGAAAAGCCTAATAAGAGCAAAGACAACCCAGATTGCAAAGAAACTTCTCTTCTCAGGCAAGATGGCCAATAGTGGCAAACGAGGAGAAAAACAAATGAATCAAGGAAAAAAATCAGATGATACTTCTGGAAGCAAGGCTCTAATGGTGTCTGCCAACTGTGTTGGTTCAGACATGGTGTTCTCCTTGCTGGAAACCATGCAAGTACAAAAGAAAGAAGGTAAAAAAGTGCCAGCTTGTGTATTTCTGAAGAAAGTRCTCCTGGAGCACACCAAGGAAGTCATATCTGACCTGATAGACTCGACCATGAAAAATCTGCACAGTGTTACTGGGGTGCTCATGACAGACTCTGACTTTGTTGCCACTCTGAAGAAGAATCTGTTCAATGTAGGAAGACAGAAAGCTACTGAAGTTTTGGAAGCAATGGTGAAACGCCTACTTAGGGATTTATCAGAAGAGAAACAAGGCAGAGGGCAAAGCCTAGCTTTCACAGCACTTAAAGCTAGGTCCCAGTCGGACTTCAAATCCCAAGGCATGAGAATTTCAGCAGTGAAGGGTGAAATGCATAATCTAGGTAAGGATAAGGACAGAGGAGCCAGTACATCTTACTCATCATCAAACAAGTATTCAGAAAAAAATCGCTCAATGGATAAATATGCAAAGGACCTCATCATGACTGCATTAATGCTGATAAAACAGCATTTACTGCAGCAGACAAACGGTAACAAAAACTCTTCTGAGTATGGCAGTGCTGCCTTTGGATTTGTCCATCGAGATTCTAACTTAGAGAATGCTGGGAAGCGCCAAAGCTCGAAATCCCTCTCAGCGTATTCAGGAGCAAAACATGATATACAAGAACAACTGAATTATGTAAAGGTAGACCTAAAAAATAAACTCTTAAGCTTCATACAGGACCTCTTAAGCGAGGGAGGCTCCAGTATGGATGAGAGCCCCAGTGAAACACACAGGAGCTCTAACAAGTACGGCAATGCAAGTGACTCCCAGAAACAAGTTTCCATCGGACAGCCACGTTCATCCATGGATCAGTTTGAGAGTTTTGCTCAGGTAAATGAGCAACTTGTTGGTCAACTTGTGGATTCTGTGATGAAGCTGTGTCAACTCATAGCCCAAGGAAATGCAGACTTAGCAGGCAGCTTTTCCGATGATCACGGCGCTGCTGCTTGAAAAGCCTCCACAGCTCCCAGTAGGTTCTTCTGCTTGAAAAGCCTCCACCGCTCCTAGAAGGCACTTCCTCCTGAAAACCTTCAGCAGCTCCCATAAGACACTGCAAGATCATCAATAAAAAAAAAAAAAAAAAAAAAAAAAAAAAAAAATAATTTTCAAATAAAAAAAAAAAAAAAAAAAAAAAAAAAAAAAAAAATTGTTCAGTGCAGTCTCTTTTCATGTGTGTTTTTTTTTTTTTTTAGTGGAGTTTGGAACCAGACACATTGTCCTGGAATTAGATACCACTTATGTATGTCAAGTACCACATATGTAAATCAAGGGATGTAGAGGAGGGAGATAAATCAAAAAGGAGAGCTTGGATATGGCAAAAAGAGGTCCCGTGTTACAAAACCTCCCCCGCCCAAAGCAGCTTGAAGGTGATAGGCTTGATGCAATACTGGGTACAGTCTCTAGATGCTGCTTTGAGATTTAGTGTGTGTTTACACCTGCCATTCAGAGGAAGGAGGTAACAGACTGAAGGCTACTCCCTCCATGTAAGCAGATGGACAGGTACAATCTTTCTCCAGTTTATTTTCTCCACAAAACCTCCTAAGAAGACAGCAAAGTGTCTCTGCTTCCCAGGCCCTTGCTGCTCTCCCCAGCTGGAGCAGCCTGCCCTTAACACTATTTACTAGTTAGGATAGTGAAACGGAAAAGGGCCTTGCTCCCCTCACACTGATCTTCCCCAGAAAAGTGACACATGGGTGCAGGGGCTTGCACGGATATGTGCAGAGGTAGAAGCATGTGGGTACGTGCACATGCCCACACATGCAGACAGAGCGGGACAAAATAGCATCAGCTTCCCAGAAATCACCAGATGGTATAAACACTCTCTATTTAGTTCTCTTAAGAGGCGTATAGGCCAGATTTTTTTTTAGGATTTCTTTTACTTGACAAGGATACCATTTTTTTGATCTGTCATGATAGGCTTGTTCTTAATAAATTACATATCCTGAGTGCAATAGTTATTCAGGATCTTTGGTACAAATCCACTCTTTGTCAGTGTCCAGACCCACCTTGGGATAGCTGTAGTTACATGTTTCCACACACTGAAATAGGCACTTTTTCCCTTTCTTTACCATTGCTGTTTACTACACATAACCCGAGAAAGGTCCTTTAAAGATCCAAAGGATGAATTTTGCAATAATTTATTCTTGCTGTTTGTTCATGCCGGTGATTAACATCTAAATCATTGAAAAATCCACCTTTTTGTTCCATTTTATTTTATTTATTTTATCTTACACTGATTTTTAGGCCTCATCCTTGCAGTATTTATCATGGATGTCTTGGACAGCACCCAGCGTGAGCAAGAAGGGTTGAAATTGTCCTTTCTCAGTACATCAGCCAGACCTCATTTATTGATTAGTGGTTTAGAAACTTTGCTGCTAAGTGAAGGCTGAGCTTGAATTCTGCCAGCAGAGAAAAGACAGAGCTCTGCTTGTCTGCCTCTTATGTGAAAGGTGGCAGCAGCTCCAAGGATGCTGTCAAGTACTTGGAAAATTCAGTCCTCAGACCTTCAGGACTTTGCAATACAGTGATATTTATAAAAGCCTAACATTTTTAAGACATGAGGAACTTATGTTTGCATTCTAAAAAAAAACAGATATTTGGGGATAAGTAGGCCACCGAGCTGTAAATGGCAAGAAATGCCCTATTTTTTAAACAGATGCAATGCTATATTTTGCTAAATGTAGTGGAGTTCATTTTGAAAGCTAAACTTCAGCTTTCATGTGGGTGGAACCTTAAATTGATTTCTCAGCTTCCCCAAAGACTCTTTCATCATCAGAATGATAATTCTTAGTTACAGCTTCCATTTGGCAACCTCTGCTATGGATTAAGGCAAAAACATGCAAATAGAGGCACAAATCACAAAAAGAGAAGTTAGCCTCTGGCATGCTTGGCTGCAATCTCTTGAGAAATTTCTCAGAAACTGCTTATAGCATAGATCTTTGCCAGGACTGAAGCACATGATGGCACATCTCTCTGGTCCTGTTAGCCCTTTTAAACTCCATGCATTGATTGCCTACAACTTGGAAGAGACAGRCAGAAGAGCTTGCTTTCTAAAGTTTGGTAAGACTAACCCTGAATAATTTCCAAAAAARCATTCTGAATTATGACTTTTTCTTAAAGAATTGTGAAGTATTGGTGAACATTGATACTGAATCTCAGAAGGACATTTTGTATGAYACTTCTAAGTGATGTTGTAGGATGCGAGGACAGGTATAGATGGACTAATTTACTATGTTATTGCATTGCAGCTTTACTTAAATGCGTGAATCATTAGTTATATTTTAAAATAGAATAAAGAATGGCTAGCCACATATTCATCTGATAGGAGTCACTGCAGCTATTAGTACATTTTCGGTTTACAGAGTGCATATGCATATATGTGTAAATATAAAATAAACACAATAATCAAGTTTTTATTTCATACTTCATTCAGATTGACCAGCTTACTCACAGCTCAGAATTTCTTTTGTTTGCTTTTMTGAATTCAAGACAAGAAAAAATGGATAAAATTGTAAAGGCCTGTGATATGCAAGTGATTTGCTTAGTTTCCTGATGGGGCCTCCTGAGTTTAAGCTAGAAGACTTCAAGGTAATACGAGAGTGGAAAGTTTCCTAGCACTGGTGATCCTGTATCTAAAGTTCAAAAATGCTACATTTACCTTGMTACAGAAATAAAGCTAATAAAAGAATCCATGATTATCCTGATAGCATTTGGCTTTAATTTTATAACCATATATACTTATATGAGCATACATACTTACATACATATATGTATGCGTATATGTATGCGCACACATATACATTTCATAGAATCATAGAATGCTTATGGTTGGTAGGGACCTCTAGAGATCATCTAGTCCAACCCYCCCTGCTCACACAGGGTCACTTAGGGCATGTGGCACTGGGTGGAATCCGAGCAGGTTTGGAAAATCTTCAAAGAAGGAGACTCCACAACCTCCCTGGGCAGCCTGTTCCAGGGCTCTGGCACCCTCACTGTTMAGAAATTGTTTCTTAAGTTCCTGTGGAACTTTTGGTGCCTCAGCTTGCGGCCGTTTCCTCTAGTCCTGTCGCTGGTCACCACTGAGAAGAGGCCRCCCCCTCCTCCTCACTGYCTCCCTTGAGGTATTTAYASACRCTGMTCAGGTCCCCCCTCAGCCTCCTCTTCTCCAGGCTGAACAGGCCCAGCTCCCTCAGCCTTTGCTCATAGGGCAGATGTTCCAGGCCCCTGATCATCCTCGTAGCCCTGTGCTGGACTCTCTCCAGCAGCTCTACATCCCTCTTGTCCTGGGGAGCCCAGAACTGGACACTGTCTCCAGATGTGGCCTCATATACATGTATGAGAAACTTGATCCTGAAGGCTAGGAGGATATATGGTGAGATTTACTTTGCCTTAGTTGGTAGTAAATTATTCACTCCTTCTGACTTCTTCCTTTGCTCCACAGTTATTTTCATACCCTCTCCTKACATCAGTATTCCAGTAGATGAGAAACAATAGCACAGAATGTCTACCTATGTATATATGTTTACACAACTGTTACAGAGTTTTAAGCAGTAAAGCAGTATGTATTATCATTTCATCTTCAAGTTTGAAGTTACACTCTAAAAGTTATTTAGGGCTTATAAGAGTTTTTTTTTTTTTTTTTTTTTTTTTCCCTAGCAAATATTAGTTGACTTTAAAATTTTAGTTTGGGTGAGATTTAATCCTCATTTAACACAACTATTTAACACAACTGTTGTCTGACTTCAAGACTGTGAGAGCTTAGACTTGACGAATTGCATAAAAAGAGGAAGAAAGAGGGGCAAACATCTTAGTTAAGTTAACTTTCAGCTAACATTTGCTATGTCTCTTTCAAATAAATGATTGTTCACATTTATAGYGTGTTCTGTCTAGCATTCTCCTGGAGCTCAGCAGGGCAGATGAGAAATTGGGATAATGATTACAATGATATCTCATGTTGCTGGCACCCCAGAAATGGTTGACTCTGATATGATTTGGTACATACTTATATATACGTTCCTTTTTTTTTGAGTGAACGTGTCAGTATAGACAAGAGACCTTTCCAGGGGCATGATATTTAGCACAGAATGTCAAAAAAACATTGAATCCTGTAGGTGGAAGGGATGGCAGGTTCAGCAAGCTGCTTCCAGAAACTCCACACACCACAGGGAGTATTGATGCTGCTGTGGCTGATATTCTTACCTGTTGGGTTACTTTTGCAGATGGAAATATTCAGAGCCAATAACACCAGGAGGGAACGAGGGAACTTCAAACTGTTTCTTTGCTTTCAATAATTCAGAGTGTTTCTGAAACCAATTCAAACATAGCTCTCTAATCTGGTACTTTTTTAGCTCCCTGTGACTGCTCTTGGTAATACTTGTAACAAGTGCTGTCCTGCTGACTTTTTCTTAGTTAGTGAAAAAGACAAGATTCAGGGAGGAGAACAGAGCAGGATGTTGGTGTTGAGGGAAACGCCGTGGTATATTTAAAGAGTATTCTACTCATGCCATTCACCTCAGGAAGAATTTTAAGAGAATGCAATCTGCCATAGCCACRTGAGCTTTTCAGAGCAAAAAGACAGGTATTAGGGGGAAATACTAGAGGAGACTGTAGAGGAGACTAGGCTAGAGGAAACATAAGGCGCTCTCTCTGAATATGTATACCTTGAACTTGAATACCAGCTGAAGCCTTACTCCTTTAAAAGCTTGGAGTTTTCCTTATAGAGCGACACCTTAATTTCCCCAAAAGGAGTTCTATTCCTGTTCATATCTATGATATGCAGTGAGATGAAACTCAGTTTTAGTGTGAGGTTGGGACTATCAGTATTTGAGAGTTTTCTCATAGTGTTATGGAGATGAGAGGTGAAYCCTTCCCCCAGAAGTTCTGGTGGTAAATGAGCTTCTTTGGTTAGTGATAGCACAGGAATCACCATGACAGATTTTGACTGGTGTTGGCTACTGCCCAGTCACTGGGATTCATCTCATCTAGTCCTAAACATCTCCATCTGTGCTTGTAGTTG